AACAAAATATTAAATTTAAATTTAAATGGATAGTTGCTAAAAAAGGTTACTGGAGTATTAACAATTCTGTTATTTCTAACTCTTGCGATTCTAACCGGTTTTAACCGGTTTTTGAAAAACCAGTTTCGATCCCTGGTTTATAGGCTAGGAAGTAGCTAGTACCATTGATTATAAATACCATGATTAATATTTATAATCAATGATATCWCTTATCTTTACAGTTATTTAAAATAATGTTTCAATTATTATAATACAAAATAATTTATACAATACTGTATTGATGAAAATAWGAATAAAAAAAAGATCTAAAATAATTTCTTTTGATTTACTTTTTTTCAGAAATCCATTGGTACCTTGCAGTTCCCTGCCAAAAATCAATTTGGATCTTTGGAAAGAATAATGGATTTAATAGATRATTAAAACAAATATTTAACCGAAAAATAATTATCGCTGTAATTATTGTCTTGATTTTTATGTAACTCTAAAAGAACATTAATATAAAACACTGTAATGACTATACTGTTTGTCTTTCTCTTTTATAATAAATTAGTAATTGGTTTCAAGCCTATTWTTGATATTGTTAAAATACCTTATAGTTAGCTGTAGAATAGATTAATTATAGGTACCTTGCTAATCTATTACAGATTTACTTTTAAACGCTGAGTAACTTTAATTTCAATATATTCAATAAAAATTAATTTTGATTCTTAAAAAATAAACAACATATAYCTATTATTAATATGTATAGTTATTTTGAAGGTACAATACAATGTATTCGTATGGTATAGGTATAGCCAAATAGGTGAGCAAATACAGTACTACCTATATTATAATAGTAGGTACATAAGCGAGTTCTTATAAGATGTTTTACCAAAATTACCTACGTATTACGTTATTTATTATTTTATTAATTTACTTTGTATTTGTAAGATGTATACATATTATATTATATTATAATAATTAWATAGGTACATACTCTTTTGGTGGCGCACAAATGTATTTTTGTTTCAATTAATGATTCATTGATAAATTATTTGGCTGGTGTAGTATGTTATACTATGTACACTTCAATATTAAATACGTAGGTTGAGTTATATTATAATAATTACAGAACTATACTTGTGTATAAAATGTAACTACCTTTATAAAATTTGAATTTTACGGAGACTTGTCGAAGTTATGTATGCATAATTATAAAGGTTTGCATTTCAAATAAAAATGTTGCGAGTGTGATATAGATATTTATAGAAACGCGAGGTTCCTTTTATACGATGTGAATAAAATATATAMATCAAATCAATTATTTGTATGGCTGATAAGACAAAGCCACTAAGGTCGATTATATGTTTGATCTGTATGTATTTATATTATTTATGTGTTATCTTATTCACGTCGCCGATAACATAAAAGTAAGTATCTAGAAAAATAACAGTTATTTAATTATTTATGATAAAAGACGACARTAAATATGAAAATAAATGGACACATATATTGACATTCTGTCTAACTGTTCACACCAGTAACTATTGGCAGTTGCACACTAGTAACTAATACATGTTTACATATCAATTCAACCGTAAACATATAACACCATGAAAGGCCAAATATATGATGTTTATTAAAGAGAGTTAACAGCTTTTGCACCTTCAAATAAAAAAACCAACGTTTTCATTAAAAAATCATATTTTTAAATATTTTTTATCCTTATCATTTTTTAAGTTTTTTACTTTTTTGAATAACTACATAGAGTTTTAATTTCATATTCCAAAGCAGAATATTTTTCTAAGTATTTTGATTCATAAAAATCGAATTTAGGACGAGTAGTTTATGAGTTATATGTATTTAAAGTTTAGACAAGCGGAGTAGTGGACAAACATTTTGCGGGGTAACCCCGTACCACTCCACTCTGCCAATTTAAACCTTATATGAAAATAATAATAATTATTATCTGGTATACAATTATTGAGTATTATATAATATAACACCGTGTGTTCACCAATTTTGGGAACACTGCATTTCTCGGCCGGATTATGTTGAAATAAATCAAATTTTTTGTTACAAGTTAGCGGTATATAAATATACATTTTCAAATAAATTTAAAATNATGTTGTCATTCAAAAAAGTAAAAAACTTAAAAAATGATAAGGATAAAAAATATTAAAAAATATAATTGTTTAATAAAAACGTTGGTTTTTTAACAACTTGAAACCATGTAAAAAAATATTTTGAAAAAGTAAATACTTTTCGAGATAATTAGTGTACCCACTTAAAAGAATCACCCGGCAGAGGTCTTACTCTTAAAACTATATCAACTGCAGTTATGGGTGCCAGGATACTACGACAGAGCAGAAGCGGTTTGAGTATACTGTTTTTGGTGCACTGCACCACCAATGTTAGGGGGGTGGGTGGACTTGGTTGAGCATGTGCTGACCGAAATGTTTAATAAATTTTAATGTTCAATAAATGAATAAAGTAATAAAGTACCTAATCAATGACATTTGATAAATGATAATCGTGGCTGAAACTGTTGAAAGCGTCGAGTTAAAAATAAAGGGCCTTATAAGTATAAGCTTATAAAAAAATATTTATTTGTAATTTCTACGATGAAGGGGGAAGGGGTGTATACCTATATATTGTCTTGCACCACTAAGTATAATAATACATTCAAACCGCCTCTGCATTCCTCGTTCCAATCAGAATCTAATATTATACCTAAAAAGTTCAAAACGGAAAATTTTTCGAGAAGAACATAATATGGACAAGCTAATCCAGTGATTGAAAACTAAGTAAAACAGTCGGAAGGAATAATCAAGAAACGGCACATTATAAGACTTTAACACAAATGCGCATTCAAATTTAATTATATTCGAAAAGATTTGTATGTCATTCCACGACTTTGACGCCACCGAATAATCGGATTCGGGTTCGGACTGAAGGCATTGGCGGACCGTAATAACTGCACACCAAGCGGGCGCCCATCGGACGTGCGCTGGGTGGAACTCGAAAGTCACTGGATCTATGCCATCTGCGAACTAGGACCGTCGTACCATTACAGTCGACCACTTCGTCAGAACGTAATTCCGAAGAAGTTTTACGAATATACAATCTTTTATTGAATTTACAAAATGAATGCACAACGTGGTAAAGTAGGAATAATTGAGAAATAAAAATATCTAAGAAACAAAATATGGGGAATTTATTCGAGTAATATTGTAAAATATACGAAGAAGGTAAAATTGAAAATATGGGAAAATCAAAAAACACCATATGAATATGCGTGACATATTATGAATGTTTGAATCCTATTATCCAAGTCCTAAAACGCTGTAATAATATTGAAGATAATCAGAAAATAAATAGTTAGAGTGGAGGCAGTTAGAGGCAGACACTTTCTATAGCTGCGGTGAAAAGTTTAAAAGGAAAATCAAGGAAAGTGTCAAATAATATAATCAAACACAGAAATTCCAAATTAACTATTAACACCGGGAGATTATATAAAAAAAACCTACAGAAATAAATCTACGAGAGTATGGATAATACTTGTTCTATAATACATTTTATACTCACATGGTCGTTCCGGTGTAAGACTGTCATTGTTTGGTTGTGTACGCAAATTTCGTTGCCGTTGGTAGTATCGAGCAGACTAGCAGAGGTTGTTCCTTGTAGAGTCAAGAGTGTTTCGGTGAACCATTTGAACTCTGAGTGGAATGAAAGTGTTTGGCTGTGTCTTGTCTCTTGTGTTCGCATGATCCCAGTTGTTAGTAGATGTTGTTCATTGTTCAGCTGCGAGTGTACTGATGTATTTTGTGATRCGCACTTGTATTTAAAGGGATGGTGATTGCGTCGATGCGTCGCGCAGGTGCCGCCCATAGTCGTCTGTGATTTGGCGTTGCGCGTTGTAGGTACCGCCCACAGTTGTCTGCCATTGGGTGTTGCGCTCCATTTAACCTGACGTCACGGACGCTGCGTGTTGTCGTACGGTGTTGTGGTTACGTGTTACTACGCCCTTAGTTTTTGATTAGGCCATGCATGATGTGCATTTTATGCGCCATCTGTATTTATAAATTAACAATGAAGACCTTTTTACAAAATAAATTAAGTAACATTTGTAATGAAAAGTTATTTAATAATTTAGTTACAAGCGGATATTTTTATTTGTATAGAAACAATTTCAAACAATGCAACCAAATTATTGAGATGGAATTTATTTTTAATTTAATTTACATAGAATCTATTCCTGAAATCACATCTTTATGAGGCTTAAGTCTTGTAAATTACTAGTTTTTTGTTTTAACTTGGTAATTTTTTACACGGATTTCGACAAAGAGTTTTTGTTTGGACGATAAATATTAAATATCGTTAAAATTTGAACTATTTACAGTTCTGAAAAAAAAAAAATGTGCCTACGTAGTTTTAATATCTTTCAACTGCTATTATATCAACTTATAGAGAACCTTGTATTGCATATTTCAGTGTTTTTACTCAAAGGATAAAATTGAATTGATAAAAGTATACTATAATTTAATAAAATGGAACATTTCAAATGTCTATAAAATATCTTTAAACGGTCTGGATTATTTTGAAAATTTAATCAAACATAGAAAAAGCCAATATAATCATTCAGTGAAAATTTCATGTATCCGAAATAATTCGTTCAGAGTTAACACCTATAGGGAAAATAATATTTTCTTTCCTTGGTATCCCGGCACTTGAAAACTAAACTGAGAATTTTAAATTTATGTAAATGAATGTATGTAATGTATTGACAATATAAATTATGTAGGTAATGTAAATGATAATCGTGGCTGAAACTGTTTGTAAGTGTCGAGTTAAAAATATAAGGGCCTTATAAAACATACATATAGGTAGTGATTTTTAGATTAGGTAAAACATAAATCAGGTCGGACTTGGTTAAAAAGTTGAAGCACATTGTGTACCGTGAAGGTAATTATTAAGTTATCTTCAAACTATTTATGAAGGTATATAATATGATAACATTAAATTATACGTATGTATAGATATGAATGATAGGCAATTTAAAGCACGTTTATAGTATAGGTACTGGGTATCTACTACATACTAGCTACTATTTACTTATTTCAACTTGTATCAATAACATTAATTTATTGTTATTATGAATGTTTGAGCCCGAAATACTTAATATTTTTGATTTTGGCTTTAATTGTTTTTCTGTTTTGTATAGTATGAATATATGATGGATATAAGTGATAAAACGGTTACTTATCCTCCCTCTCACCATTGTCAGATAATAATATATATCTGACATATTCTATCAACTGTGCCTCTGTGCGCGAGCTCTAAATTTATTGTAAATGTCCATTGCGACATCCCCGTAATCGTTTCTTGTTCCCAGTCCCACGACCGGTGCCACTTATCAGCTGCTCGTTTAGTCGTTTCCAAATTATTTTAATATCTTAGTCTGCGAATAAGTTATAATATGATTAATATAATAATAGTTGTTTTTTAAAATGTATAATAAAGTATCAGTAGAAATCTTAAAGTAAAATAAATAATATTACATTATTTAGCCGTAATCGAAAATGCATTGGCGTGGGATGCTTTACAGTCTACAACTGTCTACACTCTACAGCACGTCAGCACATCTGTTATCACTTTATCAGTTTTAATTTAACTTCTTATCACAGTTACCAGCGATTTTTTGATTGTGTGTTGTAATTTATAAATTTCGTTTTCGTACTGGTTTTGTATATTATGTGCGCCCTACGACTTTTCGGCTGTTGCTGTAGTCGATAGCCAAAAGTTAATAATTTAATATTCATACTTACGTTTCCAGTTCGATATTATTTATTATTGTTGTCATCGTCCCGTACACGGTTCGGTGTCCGGTCATGTCGTCGAATTGCCCGTCAACTTTTGAAAGACTTCTGACAGCATTGAATTGTATGCTGAACGATGGTTTCGCAATACAAGATAAAACGCTGCTAGAAAAACTTTTGACAAGTTTGCAGAATGCCGGTAAGTAACTTGCTATTCGTAAGTGCATTCTGGTGGTGTGAGCAAGTTAGTATATGAGTCAATATTAATTTTTCAGACGCTTTGTTGAGTACAGTTCCGATCAACGTTCATTGCAAATGGTTTGCCAGTGTTTTGGAAATATATCAAAATCAAACTCCAATATCTAGAAATGCTTGTATACATCTGTACGCATTTGCCCTCAAATACTTGGCCATATTGGTAAAACATGACAATGGCTTGGACGCATTCATTGAGACGCACACTCTCCAATCTATGATTAATCAGTTAGATGTTACGTCTAATCTTAAGGAGTCATCAATTTTTAACGCTTATATGTCATTGTTGCAGTCATTGAATACTCATAAACGTGGTCTTGAGTATGTTTTCCAAGAAGGTAAACTTTTAAGACTAAAGCTAAGTGAAGTACAATAAAATCTCACTTAACAAACATTTTTTTCTTATCAGACAAAACTTTAAAATCCTGAAAAAATATGGGCATTGTAATGTATAGTATTTTGACCTCTCTAAAATGAAATCTTTCTATTTCAAACATAGGCAGTATGTTTCTCTCTGATTCCTTGATAATAAACAACAATCTTGATTAAAACTCAAATATAAATCTACACTTGTGTACATACTATACAATAGTGTCACCGCGGCACATTATTAAATGTCAAGGCTCAGATTCCATCTGATTATAATATACTCCTATATTTTTGATAATTATAGCATTAATTGTGTATATTTATTATTTTATTTGTATATTTAATTAAAAATGTACATTTTTATGTATGTGTGAACTGCCTGGTATCTAATATCTATATATAACTTGTAACTTGAAATATGTTCTAAAAACATGTGATATTGTATACAATTTGGAACCATAATTATTATATTTATATGAATCAAATATACAAAATATAATTTTTAATATTATCTTGTGTTATGACTTATGAAACATATTTACACATTACTCATATTGCTCTGCAAATTTTCTATATAAATATGAAAAAACTAGAAGTATATTTACCATCATCTTTTTTTCATTAAATTTCATTGAATTGGACTAAAAATAATAACAGACACTTGATGATTATGTGTCTGTTATAATAAACAAGTTTCACTGTGCTTTTATTTCTTACTTAATGACATACATTATAATATATTAATGTGAGCATATAACCAATACTTAAATCAGTTAGATAAAACTAAAAATAACTCAAGAATAAAATGTCAAGAAAATTGAATATATACTCTGTTCAAAATAAAAAAAATGCCTGCGGCAGCCAGCTACTGTGCATAGGTTTGGCTTTACTACAATATATACAGACCACGGGCAATGGGCGTTATCTAACTGTCAAAAATAAAAACTAGTCGCCACCACAGGCATTTTTTTTATTTTGAACAGAGTAGCCAGTGTAGACACCTACTGCACATTTTATTAGTCTTGCATGTTTGCTTAAAAATAGAATTAACAAATTTTTACTTTTTTAGGTTTATGGAAAATTATTCTTTTTTCTATTCATGGATTAACTGTACCTGCAAAATATGTTGAAATTCAAGCTAGTCAATATATTGCTGACTTAATTTATAAGTCATTTGACTATGAAATGGCGCATTATTGTGAGCCTCTGCTTGAAGAGCTATTTAATAACTTAAATTCAACTGATAATCTAACTGCCAATCATCAAGATATAAAAGAATTTGTTGGCTATAATGTTTATGTAAAAACATTAATTTTATCTTTGGAAAAATTCATCGGAACTAAGTATGAATCTGATGTTGTCTGTAAAATAATTAACAAATATTCTTTATCAGATGTATTAGTGAATATTCAAAAACTATTAAATGTAAATCCAATCCTATTAAAAAACTATATAACATTACATTTAATATTTGATTGTCTTACTGTTTGGCATAATTCGGACATGGAATATGTATTAAAATCAATTTTTTATCATATGAATAACCCAAAAAATATTCATTCATATAAAAAAATCAACAACTTATGTACACAAGCAATTAAATATGCTAATACCAGTAATGCACAATTAACAGCTAACCCAGTATTTGAGAAGGAATTAATTATTGGGCAGGTAAATAAAAATTTTGTTTTTAAAAATTGTATATCTATTAATAAATTGTTTATTTTATTATACGTGTTAATAGTTGATACCTTTAAATAAATGTTCAGACTGGATACTATGTTCTAAACACAAAAAATCCAAGTATGATAGAAGTTGTATTATTGAATCAAAATACATTTTAAATTATTGCAGTAATTATGATTCTATGATAAATGAAGTGGCCATTTCTTCTATACTCAACATTGTAGATATTATTCCTATACTGAAACAAGTAATTTTGTTTATATTTATATAAATAATTTACATATACCTAATATAAAAATATATATAAATATAATATAATATGTTAATGCCCTGGGGCCTGAGCTTCCAAATAGAAATATTATGAAACTATATCTTATAATAATATAATATAGAATTACATAATATATAAATCTTATAAATTATAATATTGTACATAATATTCATCACAAAGACTCAAAATCTTTAAAAAAAAATGTTTGATGTTGGTATTTTATTTCTACAATGTTTTTGTATACTATGTTTTTCTAATAGATGTCACTGGATTACTTATTCAATTTTTTTTCAACTTTAACAGAACGTTTTTTTAACTCTGACAATTGGCTAGAACAGTGTCAATCTCGAGATTCTATTTATAACAAATTCTTAGAAATATTATCTTACATATTTATATGTTGGGCTAAAGTAATAGAATGTAAATTATTTACTGAAACTACAACACATAATGAATTGTTGGTGTCACTTGTACAGAGCCTTAGTCAGTTTCTTCATAAACCTTCCCACAATTCTACTCTCTTACAGGTAATTAATTAATAATATTATATATTATGCTTTTATGCTTATATGTATATAATACATTATATTTTATTGTAATATAATGTACTTATATGCTTTTACAGAATGGTTTGAAATTAATTAGTACTGCGTTAAATAATATGGACAAAGAAAATGTACAATACACTGGTAATCTGGAAAATTTTGGTACATTATGTACTACACTTCATAATTTACTTTTGGATACCAGGCCAGAAATTCGAGATAGTTCTTTACAGTGTATTACTAGCATAGTAAATGTTTCTAAATACAGTTCTGGTAAGTTAAACTAACATTCTTTTATATTACCATCACTATTTTGTATTATAATATATTTTATTTTGATTTTAATCAGGGAATTTTTTTATCAAAATCATTTTGGAAAAACATTTGTCAATAGCTGTAATGAATACTCTTAAACATGACAATGATCCATTTGTGAGATCTAAAGCTCTTGAATGCTTAGAAAAAATGGTATCTGTCTTAGATATTTGGGAAACATCTTTAAAAGAATCAGATTTAATTGTAAGTGTTCATTATAAATTACAAATTTTATTATTTATTTTTGATTAAGCACTTATTGTTAATTTATGTCATTTAGACACATTGTTTAAACTTAATGCAATACGAATCTGAAGGAATTATTAGACGACAAATTGTAAAACTCCTCACTGCATTATTCATTAATAATGAGCTCAGGTATGTTATCTTACATCCATATATTAGAAATACTAAATTATTTACTATACTTTGTCAAGTGGATCCAGTGAATACCTGTACAGCATTCCGAAGCTAATGGAATTTTTGAGGTTGTCTGAGGTTACTCTTGATAGTTTATCCTAAGTTTTTGAGTTTTGAGAACTTGATCGAACTCAGGGGAAAGGGGGTGCAAACATCTCAAAAATTTCAGACTTTCAATTTTTACGGTTATATATCGTAAATTAACCATATTAGGTTTTCATACAAAGTTATAGAACGTAAAATTTGGTTGTTTAAAAAATTTTTAGACCAAATATTTACGATGATAAAGCTGAACAAAGTTAATCAAAGTTTCTCAGGATATAAAAATTAGTTGAAAAATGAAGTTTTTGGCCCTATAACAATTTATTATCATAACATGTCGATTGTGTCAATCATTTATTGACATCTTAGAACACCCATCATCTTCTCTCCCCCTTTAATTTTAATGTGTAGTAATCAATTTAGTTACAAAAATGCATAATTAAAATAATTGCAGGTGCTATGTATACATATACAAAGTATATTCAATAAATACTCACAACTATCTTCAGAATACTCTAAACCTATTTTTCATTATTTCGTCTGCACTAATTATGTTAGGTGTAAAACAAAAAACATCTTATATACCATTTATAATGATAGTATTATGACGAGTTATGCCATTTTTTGTTGTAAACTAATAAATTATTTTAATTCATTTAAATTGTTAATTTATTTGATCTAGTATACAATTAAAATATACAGAGTGATTTTTTTTATCGAATAACACTCATTATTTAAAAAAGTATTGAATTTTTTCAAAATATTTTTTTACATTGTTTCAAGTTGTTAAAAAACAAACGTTTTGATTAAAAAATTATATTTTTAAATATTTTTATCCTTATAATTTTTTAGGTTTTTTACTTTTTTGAATGATAACATAAAGTTTTAATTTTATATTCCAAAGCAGAATATTTTTCTAAGTATTTTGATTCATAAAAATCGAATTTAGGACGAGTAGTTTATGAGTTATAWGTRTTTAAAGTTTAGWCAAGCGGAGTAGTGGACAAACATTTTGCGGGGTAACCCCGTACCACTCCACTCTGCCAATTTAAACCTTATATGAAAATAATAATAATTATTATCTGGTATACAATTATTGAGTATTATATAATATAACACCGTGTGTTCACCAATTTTGGGAACACTGCATTTCTCGGCCGGATTATGTTGAAATAAATCAAATTTTTTGTTACAAGTTAGCGGTATATAAATATACATTTTCAAATAAATTTAAAATTTTTAACCATCTCAGTATGCGCTTGGCAATGCAACTTATTTTTATCAATAGTAACCGGTATTTTTGATACCAAAGGGATAGACTGAATTTTTAAAGTCATTTTGACCAATTAACCATGGCTCTAAAATCAAAATTGACTGAATGAGAGCCATTCAAATTTTAATAAGTAATACATTTTTACAATTCATTATAAAATGCTTAAAACCATTTATAATTATTTATTATTGGTTATTTTTTTAATATTTTTAAATATCAATTTTAATTAAATAATTTTATATCCATGTTATGTTAATCTTATTTATAATACATATAAAAAAAATACTTAAAAATATTCAAAAAGTAACCAATAATAAATGATTATAAAAGGTTTTATGAATTTTATAATGAATTGTAAAAATGTATTACTTATTAAAATTTGAATGGCTCTCATTCAGTAAATTTTGGTTTTAGAACCATGGTTAATTGGTCAAAATGACTTAAAAAAATTCAGTCTATCCAAATTTGGTATCAAAAAATAAATACAGGTTGCTATTAAAAAAAAGATTCATTGTGCATGCGCGTACTGAGAGGGTTAAACATTTTTAAATTTATCTGAAAATGTGTATTTATACTAACTTACTAACTTATGAAAAAAAATTTGATTTATTCCAACATAATTCAGACGAGAAATTCCGTGTTCCCTGAATTGGTGAACACACAATATTTATTCATATGATAATTACTTATATATTATTATTAATTTCCAGTGATAATCTATTTAACGAAATATGCATTGTAATGGTACACATTAGCATCAAAGATCCACTTTGGGAAGTAAAAACATTTACTTATGAATTTTGGAGTTCTGTTGTCTATAAATTTATTGGGAAATGTTGTAAACAAAATAACACTGAAAGACTAAATGACAATCTTGTTAAATTAAGTTCAACAGGCTGCTTACATGTGAGTTAGTTTATATTAAACCTTTTTTTTTTTTTTAAATTGTATTAAAATTAAAATATTATTGATACTATTTATACATATTTATATATACTATTTATATATCTTTAAATTATTATTTAGGTTCTTTATGTTGCATTAAAAGAAGAACATGATTTAGTTGTACAAAAAAAGGCCATTTGCTTAGCAAAAGAATTGATTGCTACGATAAACTCTATTGATGATAATATGCAAGATTTAAATGTTAAACTTAAAAGGAAACCAGTGAATTGTCTGCACAATATTATTGATGAAAGCATTGAAAATTGTTCTGGCTCCATAAATAAAAAATCCAGACAATTAGACTCAGCCGATAGGATCTTAAGCTCTATTACTATTTCAAGTGACAGTGAATTATTGCCAAGTCTTAAGTCTTTCAATAACAGTAATATTTATCCAAATAATATTTGTCTTCGCCAGAAAACTGATATCTATATAAAAATAGATGATTTTTTAAATTTTACTTCTATTTATGATTTTAATGACTGTGATACTAAGACACAATGGGTTATATCTACGAGGTCTGGTTTGGATTCAATGTTAGATGATATAATTGATCAGTCACAAAATTGTTTCATTGAAGGAGCTGATCTTTTAGATTGTCATTAATTATATTGTGCCTATTGTGTTAAACCTAAATATATTTAATACTATGTTTATATTGTTTATTACTTTATTAGGATGTCTTCATTTTGTACAACTATATTTTTAATTGTTGTCATTTTTTTTCTTCTATACATTTATGAATATTTAAGTGTTTTTCTCTAGAATTTCTTGTACACATTTTTTTTTCATAGTATCTAACTATACAAATTTATCTTTTTCTCCAGTATATAAAATAATTTGTAAAAATTAAACTTTTAGATAAAGTTTGCTTTAAAAATTATGCAATTTAAATTCATTATTTTTAACGGTATCTAAAATTTATTCTTAAACCAATCCCGTGGCCCTAGATATAAATGCATAATCCATAAATTAAAGTTTTTCCGTATCACTTAGGTATAGATAACGTTATGAGTACAGTCTTTTTATACTTCTTTATTTCAGTAAAATATAAAATTAGTTATAACTTTATAAGTCATCATTATTTATATTTTTTAGATTAAGTAAGACCCAGTGCGTAAATATTTTATTTATTATTTTATGTTTATAGCCATTGAGTTACATTTTCCGCCTTACAAATTATCTAAAACATATCATTTTAAAAATCTATGATTATAAATTAATTAAACTAACTAATATTTTGATTAGTATAAAGAGTTCAATATACAAGCAATACCAGTGGCGCCGAACCCTATATTAAGGTCGGGCTATAGCCCGACATATTTTGAAAATTTAAGAGATAGGGCTTCATGTTGACCATTTTCCTCTCCACGGTATTCCATTTTTCCCGATATTAAGATGTTGGGCCTCTTGAAATATTTTTCGCCCTACTAGATTTTTAGGACTTCGGCGCCACTGTTTATATCATATAAT